ACTTCAACTAATGCATTTTTATTACCCTAATTGAACATTATTATATATTAATCGCCATTTTGATCAGATTGTTTCTCTGTAATCACTTTCATGGCCTATTTGCAATATTTGTATTTATGAATTTGCATTGCCATCTTGATGTTTGTGTTGAATGTTGAGTCTGTTTATATAATTAGGTTAAGGTTGATGAGTTGGAATTAATTGTTGGATTGTATTCTTTTTGTTTTTTCCATGTCATATAACTTTTAGAGAAGAACTGTTTGGTGTTTGCAATTGCATATAGCAAGCGATTTGAAGGTTGGATTACAACTACGTTTTACCTTAAATAGCAAAGGACTTAGAAGAAATGAGTTTAAACTATGATGTCCACCTACCTAAGATTTACTATCCTACGAGTTACCTTAGTCATGCGATTGTCCTGAAAGATTAGTTATGTGTAGTAGTGCTAGTGCATTGTCATCTTGTGTTTCTCTTGAATTTTTAGTCTATTGATAGCTTTATATTGTTGGTGTTTTCGTTTTGTTTCTCGGCAAATTGTCAACTTCCATGTCTTTGTCTTTCTATTTGACCCAGTAAACAGAAAAACTTTTAGAACTCTAGAATAATAGAGTTTTTAATAAATTTCCTTGAGGGAACAATTGTTGGCCGTTTGCATATAGCTATAGTGATTTGAAGGCTGGATTATAACTACTTTTTACTTCCATATTCAAGACACCTAACTTGTAGAATAAGAGAGCTATCTATACATTTCGGAGTTTTCTCTTGTTGCCTACTTGCATTTCAATGACATGACTTAGTTCACGCCAAAACATGCCAGTCATTCGAAGTTATGGGGTTGGATCGGATAGAACCAGATCCAATCGACTGATTTTTGTTATGAGTAGTGCTAGGGCTTGCTTGTCTAATTTCCTAATGTCTTTATGGATCTCCAGATGAGTGACCAACGGTGGACATCAATCCGTGCCAAGATACTTGCAAATTTGATAATTGAACAAGTGGTGAGAGGGAGGAAAGAATTGGAATGGAAGCTTATATGTGATGAGTTCTGCAGGAAAACAAGAATGACATGGGATGTAGAACAACTGAAGAACCAATATGCTGTTATGAGAAATCAGTACCTAATTGTGCAGTCGATGTTTCATCGGGACGACTTCTCGTGGCGTGCAAAAAACTGGGATTATTGTGGCCACAGATGATAGGTGGGCCAAAATTGCTAGGGTATGTTCTTTTATGATCTCTAAAACTCAGATAATTGTGATAACTGTACAGGAGAGACTGTAACTCTTTATTATTGTGATGACTTATTTGTGCCCAAAAAGCAGGTAACGATGAATTGTCCAACATATGAAGAGTTATGTATAATGTTCTCCAATTCTGATGGTAAGTTGGTCACTAATCGACTTTGATTTCAAACTCAAGCATTCTTGCATACTAAACCTAATGGGAGTGATCATTTACAGATGGTCAAGAAACTACGAGTCAACCTACCAAACCCAATTCATCAAATAGTCACAAAAGAGGGAGGAAGTTAGACGAAGATGCAACATATAAAATAGCAGATTGTATTAAAGGATTGGATGAAATTGATGAAATGCATGGGCTTGAAGAAGATGTTTATTTTGGAGCTTTGGTACTGTTCAATGAACCAAATGCGAGAGAGACCTTCCTTCGTCTCAAGGCAGACAAACGCTATAATTGGCTGCAGAGGAGCTGTTGATATACACCCTCACCGTTTCAAGGGATTTCACATTTATGCAAATTTCTTTTCCATTTTGAGAGTGAATAAGATGTGTATATTGGACATTTTGAGGCCATTATAGATCCTAGGAGGCAATTTTGATTAGTCAATAAAAATATATTTTAATGTTATTTTCAAATATTTTGCACCGTATTTTCAAATACAAAGAAACAGAAAGAAAAATGCACCTAGCTAAGAGCTAACAAATTGTTCTTCAAGTTCCAAATTTTTGTTTGCAAACTCAAACCAAAAATAAACTAATGGAAAGTGAATTGTGGTTGTAATGCTCAATTAGCATTTTAAGGATGCAACTAACCCTGCTGTGTTTTGAAACTAATCTCTTAAATTTAGTTGATTAAAAACAATTTTAAGTAAATAAATAAATCTATCTCCATCCATAATTTCGGTTGACTTAATTTATTAAAGATAGGACGGATTAATAAGATAGGTTAAAGTTAAAAAGTAAAAAATAAAAAATAAAAAGTAAATCTAAAAGTAAGATTTATATATAATAGGTTTCTGTTTGTTGGAATTATAAAATTTATTCTGTTTGTTCAACCAAGGAAGGACTTGGAAAAGGTAAATTTGTTTCTTGTTTCTGCCCATTTAGGTTTTCAATGATCCCCCATTATTCACATGCATCGTATTGGCTTAATCAATCCATCATCTAACCTAATTCAACATTAATCACCATTTGAGATTGTTTAATTTCTAATCACTTTCATGGCCTATTTGCGATATTGTTGGTGTTTGGGTAATTTGAGGAAGCATAATACATAACTATTTATGAATTTCCATTGCCATCTTCATGTCTGCGTTTCAATGTTGAGTTTATTGATAGGTTTATATTAATTATAGGTTAGGTGTTGATGAGTTACAGTTAATTGTTTCTCGGAAAATTGTCGACTTCCATTTCTTTCTATTTTATCAGCAAAGGTTAGATTATGAGTGTGTTTGGAAGTGATGGTAGAACAAGGTGATTTTGAAAGAATAGATTTAATTATAATTGATTTTCCAAAATCAAAATTTTAATTTGCCTGTCAAACATGATCAATTGGAAGGAAATTGGATTTGATAGAAAAAGTAAAGCAATTTCGGTCCTGTCAAAATCACTACCAAACACACACTACCGTTCAACTTCTTTTTTTTTTTTTTTGTTTCCTAATGTTTTTATGGATTTGAAGATGAGTGACCAACGGTGGACATCAATACTCGCCAAGAAACTTGTGAATTTGATAAGTGAACAACTGCAGAAAGGAAGGAAAGAGTTGGAATGGAGGCTTATATGCAATGAGTTCTGTAGGAAAACAAAAATGGAATGGAATGTAGAACAACTGAAGAACCCATATGCTGTTATGAGAAAGCAATACTTGATTGTGAAGTCGATATTCTATCGGGACGACTTCTCATGGCGTGGAAGTACTGGGTTATTGTGACCACAGATGAGAGTACGGCCACATATGTTAGGGTATGTTATTGCGACCACAGATGAGAGTACGGCCACATATGTTAGGGTATGTTCTTTTTTCTCTAAAACTCATATTATTGTGATAGCTGTGAAGAAGTTATCTCTCTCTGAAACTCTTTATTATTGGGGTGACTTATTTGTCAAAAAGCAGAGATTAGTGATTTGTCCAACATATGAAGAGTTATGCATAATTTTCTCCAATTCTGATGGTAAGTTGATCACTGATCTGACTGTGATTTCAAACTCGAGTATTCCTATAGAGCCGACCTACTAAACCAATGAAGGGATGGGTCACTTTGCAAATGGTCAAAAAACGAGTCAACCTACCAAACCTAATTCATCAAATAGTCACAAAAGAGAACGAGAGTCAAACAAGGATGCAACATATACAATAGCAGATTGTATTAAAGGATTGGATGAAATGCATGGGCTTGAAGAAGATGTTTATTTTGAAGCTTTGAAACTGTTCAATGAACCAAATGACAGAGAGACCTTCCTCCGTCTTAAGCCAAACAAGCGCTACAACTGGTTGCAAAGAAACTGCTAATACCCCTACTTCAATGGATTTCAAATTTATGGAAACTTCTTTTTCATTTTGTGAGTGTTGTTTTACGTTTTCTATGCAATAATGTTTTATTTTCATAAGTTCGTCTGAACTGTTACTCAAAAGGTTAAATAAAGTACGTATCTTGACCATTTTAGGCAATTATAGATCCTAAGAGGCAATTTTAATTGGTCAATAAAAATATATTTTAATGTTATTTTCAATTATTTCGTTCAGTACCAATTACCAAATAAGTAATTGGGTGTTCTTTTTATTTGAGTAGGAAAATGGGTAGTTCATGCAATTTTCTCCCTTCCTCTGTTCACCAGATATTCTCCAATAAAAGTTTAGAATATAATTATTGTGGGTGGTTTATGTTCATACTTAATTTTCTATATATTTGTAAAATTTAGTCCCATTTTCATTTTGACAACCCTACTTTGTTGGTTTGTGAAAATCAATAGGAATTTGAATGCAATATTTACTAAAATATTTCTTGGATTATAATAAAAAAAAAAGTATTGATGCTTTTTACTACAACTATTTAAAATTGTAATGGGAATAAGATGTAGAACTATTATTATCCCTTAATTGTAAAAAAAATATTAAATAGTACATAGTACATTCATAAAAAAACGTATCCCTTAATGTAATTTGCATTTTAAAATTTTAAATATAAAATTCAAAAATAGTGAAGAGATAAAAGAGTAGAATCTCTATACGTTTAATTTATTAAAATTGGATGGATTAATGAGATGCGTTAAAATATGAATCAAGAAAAAGAGTTAGAAAAATTTAAAAATTGTATAAAATATTTAAATTAACCAATAAATATTTTACTATTTCTAAATTAGTTAAAAAATAATTAATATTAATATTATGTATATATTAGTGAGATTTTGGTGATATTTTCATATTTTATCATGGAAACGTGGATTTACCTTTGAGGTCGATGTCAAATTTATGGAAACGTCGACGTGTATACTGGATATTTAGAAGGAATACTAAAAAAAAAAAATTATAATAGGTTTCTTTTTCTTTTTTTGAACAAAAAAAAATTATAATAGGTTTCTGTTTCTTCAAATGATAACATTTACTCTGTTTGTTGGATCAATCCCCGCTGGAAGGAATGACTTCGGAGAGGTGAGTTTCTTTCTTTTTTTCTGATGATTTAGGTTTCGAATCCGATAGTTTTATGTTAATCCCCCATTATTCACTTCATATCGGCCTAATCGATCCATCATCTACTGGAACTAATGCATTTTTGTTGCCCTAATTGAACATTAATCGCCATTTGAGATTGTTTCTACGAGTTCTCTCTAATCACTTTCACGGCCTATTTGCGATATTGCTGGTATTGGGGTAATTTGAGGAAGCAGAATACATATAACTATTTATGAATTTCCATTGCCATTTTTATGTTTCCGTTGAATGTTGAGTCTATTGATAGCTTTATATAATTGTAGGTTAAGGTTGGTGAGTCAGAATTAATTGTTGGACTGTATTCTTTTTGTTTTTAGGAAATTGTCGACTTCCATTTCTTTCTATTTGATCCAGGAAATACAAAAACTTGTAGAAAAAAAGTACTTAGGAGTATACAGCACTCATAAAAATCACTGAGTACGGTCCATTTTATATAACCACTGTTTGCTGTTTGCTGTTTGTAATTGCATATAGCAAGTGATTTGAAGATTACTACCGTTTTACTTCCAAACACCTAATTTATAACTATGTAATATACACAAAGTAGTAGTTAGAGAGAGTGTGTTTGGGATTGATGGTAGGATATGCAATTGAAAGTGGTTTGAAGATTGGATTACTGACTACCCTTTTACTTCGAAGATTGGATTACTGGCTACCTTTTTGCTTCCATGTTCAAGACGCCTAATTTATATAATAAGAGAACTATGTCTATATTCAGAGTACTTGTTTGTTGATTTTTGTTATGTGCAGTGGATGCTCGTCACGTAATTTCTTTAGGAATAACGAAATGACTGACCTAATGTGGACATCAAACATCGCCAAGATACTTGTGGAATTGATAATTGAACAAGTTCAGCGAGGAAGGAAAGAATTGGAATGGGGGTTTATATGTGATGAGTTCTGCTCGAGATCAAAATTGATGTGGGATGAAGAACAATTGAAGCACCAATATGCTGTTATGAGAAAGCAGTACCTCATTGTGAAGTCGATATTCGATCGGGATGACTTCTCGTGGCATGAAAGTACTGGGATTATTGTGGCCACAGTGGCCACAGACGATGCCAGATTTATAGAGGTATCAGATTTTATTGTGATAGTTGTAGGCCACAGAGGAACTGTGGGTCGAATATATCGTACTATGTTCAACTCTAAACTCTGTATTGTTGTGATGGCTTATTTGTCCAAAAGGAGGAGAATCTTTATCTAACGTACGAAGATTTATGCAGAATTTTCTCCAATTCTGATGGTAAGTTGATCACTCGACTGATTTCAAACTCAAACTCGAGCATTTTTGTCGAGTCAACCTACTAAACTCAATGAAGTTGATCAATTTGCAGGTGGTCAAGAAACGAGTCAACCTACTAAACCTAATTCATCAAATAGTCGTAAAAGAGGGAGGAAGTCAGGAGATGATGCAACATATACAATGGCAGGGAAGAAATCAGGCGAGGATGCAACGTATACAATAGCAGATTGTATTAAAAGATTGGATGAAATTGCTAAAATGCATGGACTTGAAGAAGATATTTATTTTGGAGCTTTGGTACTGTTCAAGGAACCAAATGTCAGAGAGACCTTCCTCTCTCTCAAGGTAGACAAGTGCTGTAACTGGCTGCAAAGGAACGTTTGATATACCATCCCTCGATAGTTTCAATTGTTTCAAAATAAATTTATGGAAACTTCTTTTCCATTTCGCTCCTGTGAAAGTTCTATTAGATCTTACGAGGCAATTTTTGATGTTCATTAGGTGATGTAGCTGGAAGTTCAAATTCGACTGCAGGCAAATGCAAGGGCAACATGATTTTTTACTCCCATTGGCACCCAGTTTGCAGAGTCAAGACCAACCATCTAACTTTTGAGTCAATGTACAAAACATAATCTTGATCATATAGTTCTCATCAAATAAACATGATTTTTAGTGCTCATCAAATAAACATGATTTTTAGTGCGACATGAGAAACAAACATAAATTGAGATAATGATCAAATATGGTTTAGTCTCAATTACCGTTGAACTATACTCACTTTGGTAAATATGATTTAGGCCTTATTTATAGAAATGAAGATCATCGGTGCATTTTCCCCACATTCTACACTAATAGGGTTCATTCAAGTGCATATAATAAGTTTTTTGGAGAGGGAATTCGAACTCACGAAGTATATGCCAATTACCGTTGTCTATGCTGGCGATTCAAGTGCATAGTTACTGTAATTAGTCCATTTTTTATGTTTAATAAGGAGAAATAGAATCATTGTAGATGCTCCCAAGCAACTAATTGAGAGAAAATGTGTCACATTGGCTTAGTTTTGCTGGTATCTGTTTTCGAAATTCTAAAGGACCTGGAAGAAGATGATGAAAATAAAACTTTCACGTCTCATTCCCTAAAACCATAAGTTATATATAGCATATCACTATATCAGATTCTCACAAGATTAAACTTAATGAGACAGATGCAGGGACAAGAGGAGAGAAATGATCATGGTTCTTTTGGCGGGGCCTTCTTCGCAGCCTCTGCAGCTGCTTTTTCCGATTCAATCTCAGCGACAATTGCATCGATTTCAGCCTCGTCCAATTGTTTCAAACCATGTTCCTTTGTCATCACAGCAACCTCTATGTTCTTTCCTCCACTCTCAACAACCTACAAATTGAGTTCAGGAGTCCATGCAAGTAAGTCACTAATTATTACCATAGAAAAACATTCAAGAAATGCACCCAGCTCACACATTTGGTACATCAAGGGCAAATGTAAAATCAGATATGTTAACTCAAATGACCAATATTTTAAGGGCAGGTAGCCTGATTTATCAAGAATCAACGGAGTGAACCCGGAAGACATCAAGACTAAGCAATGGTTATAATGTTATACCTATTTTGGCCTTTCCAGTAGTTTGGAAATTCTTTCTGAAATAGTTTTCAATTTCCTACCACAAAAACTCCTTCAAAACATGTTTAGATAACTAATTTTTAAAAATGGACTTTTTTTTCCTGGTGTGTTCTCACAAGACCCACTTTTCCAAAACCTTCCTGAATTGTTCAAAACAACTTTTCGAATTGTCTCCTCATGTTTTAGACCCTCTTAGCAAAGAGCAAACTTCCAAGGGAAAGATCAAGAATACAACCAATGGAGAAGGAGAATAACTCGTGCAACCTATTAGTGGAATATTTTCTTACTATTACAATTTTGATGCTGAATAACGAAATTGGTCTCTAGGGTAAGGAATAACCAGTTAGGTATGCACTAATAGCCAAAGTCTTGACTGACTGACTTAAGATAGAGGGAAACACAGAGGACCACCAAAAAAAAAAAATAATAATAAAAAAAAAAGAGAACAAGCCCAACCATTTCAGGGACTACATAACAGCATGCTAGCTATATGCTATCATTGAGCATTAGATATAATACAACCACAACTCATTTTCTTGTGTACACATACTTCAATGGCAAATTAATTAGTTTTTATAGAATTCAAATATGTTAGACCTCCAATTAGAAAGGTTTATGTAAGGAAGGGCAAAAGGGGAATTGTGGAGGGTAGCCATGTTTCGAGTTAACTGTTTTACTGTTTTATTTGGTTTCTTTGTACTGGTGAAGTTACAACTTCCTTGGGTAGTTTTATGGTTTTTGTTGGTGTTTCTTTATTATGTTTGTTTTGGTTTGGTACAGACTGGATTATCTTGTGTATTTTGGTGTGTTTTATTAAAGAAGTGTGGAGAGTTAGATGACCCTCTCGAATAGGTCATCCTTTAGTTGATTTGTCTCGTGTTATTAAAGTTGTTCTTGATAGAAAACTCTATCAGAATCGTGCAAATTGTCAAAGTCTCATATAATCGAGTATCAGCCATTTCCAAACCCATCATCTCACCACACACTTCATGCAAACAAGAAAACTATGTCCAATAATTGGAGGCAAAAATCATGAACACAGAAATGGTAATTCCAAGTTCCAATCAAGAAATATCAAACACCCATTACTAGTCATAATCCAACAATTACTCAGAGTTCAGACACCATCAAAGGTTCTATTATCCAAGTAAACATTACATGCAAACCTTCAGTTTGTTAAATCATCAATCAACCTAAGGGCTTAGGCTTATAGGTTATGGTAAATTGAATTTTTTATAGATACCTTAACACCCCTTAGTCATGGGCTGGAGAGGACATGACATTACAAGAGGTTCGACAACACTTCTCTGACACCATGTTAAGTCACCAATCAACCAAAAAGTCTACATTTATGGATTATATGGATTATGATAAATTTAATATTGTATAGGTAGCTTAATAAGGAATAGAGTAGGTTAATATCAATAAATGAAAGTCAATCTTGAAGGAGAAAGTAAGAGGAACAAATATGCTAATGCTATAACAACTTGCCTCAAGTAATGCACGGATAGCAAGCTTCACAGTTTCTTGCCCTGAAGTCTCCTTATAGTTCTTCTCTAGAAATTCCCTTATCGAATTCGAATTTCTCCCGGTGGCATTCGCTTTCCAAGACGAAAATGTCCCAGAAGGATCTGTCTGATACAAGGATGGAGCACCAGTGTAGGGATCAAACCCAATAATCAAGGTGGAAAGCCCAAATGGCCTCACTCCACCACTCTGTGTGTACTTCTGCTGAAGCCTTGCAATGTACCGCGTTATGTACTCAACGGTCACCGGATCCTCAACTGTAAGCCTGTGACTTTGGCACTCAACACGAGCCCTGTTGATCAGAACTCGTGCATCTGCTTTGAGCCCAGCACAAGCAAGTGCAATATGATCATCAAGATTCACAATCTTCCGAACTGATCTGCAAACAGTGCAATAAAGATGATACACCACAATCGCAATTGCAACCTAAAACTAGGTCAAATGAAACCCAATTCGAATGTCTACCAAAACCCATATCCTGATATCAACAACCTTGATGGAGAATCGATTCAAAGAGAGAGAGAGAGAGGGGGGGGGGGACCTGGAATCTTGGAGCTTGGGGGTGGATTTCTTCTCGACGCCGAGAACGATGGTGTCGGAACCGCGAACGCCGACGGCGGCATTGCCCTTGCGGACGGCCTCGAGAGCGTATTCTACTTGAAAGAGATGGCCGTCCGGGGAGAACACTGTAATGGCCCTATCGTACCTCGCCATCTTCCTTCACTCTTTACTCTGCTTCTGATCTCCCTCTTTCGGTGTGAGTTTACAGAGCGAAATGAAGAAAATTTTGGAACTTGAAGAACAAGTTGTTAGCTCGTAGCTGCGCTTTTGGAGAAATATCTCTCTTTTTCTTTCTTAACAAGCAAATATTGTTTTTTTACTTTTGAATTAAAATTTTGGAGATTGGGTTGATTAGTCCCTAAATTTAGGTTAAATTAAAAATTAAAACTTTGATGGTAGTTTAGATTCCAAACTTTTTAAATATATGTCGACATTTCCATCAACATATTCATGTTTTCATGGTAAATCAACATTTCTATTATAGTACAAGAAAATCGACAAAATAAGAAAAATATCAACAAAATATCATTAATATATATGTAATATTAAGATTAATTATTTTTAACTAATGTAGAAATAGGAAAATGTTTATTTGTTCATTTAAATATTTTTTACGATTTTTTTAATTTTTCTAATTTTTACAAAAATATCCATCGATATCGATATTTCCATGAAATTGAGACCTCGACATTTCCATCGACATCGACTTTTAAAACCTTGGTTTGGAAGAAGTTTTTTATTCTCGTAGTTTAAGATTTAAAAGTTTCAATCTAGTCGTTGTAGTGATTAATTTGGTTCTTATAGTTTAGATTTAGTTTTAATTTCAATCTAGGTATATTGTTAACTCGAAAATATTTATTTGCGTGCTTACCATATACTGTTTAAAAATTACTTAGTAGGATGATTTTGAATAAATAGAGTTACCACAACTCCAAGAATGTTAATGTTGACTGTTGAATTATGTTCAAATTAATAAAATATATGATTAAATACAAAACAAAAACAAAGAAGAAGAAGTCGGGATGTTATTAAAAACTTAAAGCTTTTTCATATATACTGTATTTTTCATCCACCACTAGTTGTGTCATCTTCTTTTCCTCTTCTTTTGAATTCTCTCTCTTTGTTAGTGATTATTTCCATAAGTTTTTTTACTTAAAGTTCATATGTTCATATTTTCTTACTTTTGTGAGATCCCCAATGTGGTGAACAAAAAAAACACCCAAATTTTTTAAGTGCTTCACTGAAAACGATTATAAAGAGGAGCTTATTTCCCCTCTTCTTATTGTTAGGATGGTCTTTCTTTACATCATTACTGGCTTTGTTATCTCACTACGACTAATTACAAAAAGTGGGAAAACTTTACCTCCCTTTCATCTCCCCCACAACAAAATATACAAAAACTTCTGGTACCAAATTTACACTCTTAACTGCTAACCATCAAACATAGAATCTGCATCCTCCCCGCAAATTCCTCGTCCAAATGGGCACTCTTGCACATTAAAGCTGCCTGCTCGGGTGCTCGTGACTATACAACGCCTTTGGACCCTTAAAGGCCTTCTTCTTCTACTGTTGTTCAGTTAGGAAGTGACTTCGTTTTGATTTGCAAAACCGAAACACCGAAAACCGAAAGTAAGCTTTACTGGGGAAGCTAGACTCTTCTTTTAGTGAGTGAAAGTATGGTGGATACCATCAGCTTATAGTCAATTGGCTTTGTTAGGTATGCATCCATTCCCACCTCCAAGCATTTGGCTTCGTCCGACGACATTGCGTGGGCTGTCAACGCTACAATCGGAACATGAAGCCTCGTTCCTGCTTCTAGCTTTCTAATTGCTTTTGTTGCTTCATACCCGTCCATCTTCGGCATCTGTTTTGGAAAAGAAGAAAAGTTCACAAGCTTCCTAAGTATATGAATTGAGATCATCAAAATCTTTTTGCTTCGATTCATTTTTTACTATCAATGACGATGTTACCTGAATGGAAGTTAGACGTTCATCTGGGATTGATTTAGGTACACTATCTATCAATCAAAGCAACACTAAAGTGCAAAGACAATATCATCTCAGTTTTGGTACTTACTTGGCAATCCATCAATATCAAATCATATCTTGTGGGACATTCCCTTCTTTGCTCTTCATCACTGAGCATGGCACTCAGAGCTTCTACAGCCTGCAACCCGTCTCCTGCCGTAATGACTGCGGCTCCCATCTTTTCAAGCATTATGGTCGTTACTCTTTGTAGAACCGGTGTATCTTCTGCAAGCAAAATGCGTAGCCCTTCAAGAGATTTCTGACCATGGACGTTCTTAGAATGTGATTCTCCTTGGCTCTTAGGATAGTTGCATCCCAAGTTCTGTCCATCAGATTCGGAACTTTCACAATGAGGCTTTGTTGAGTTTCGCCTCGCGTCACTGAGATCACTGGTTTTCATGTTACTCTCGCTCGAGTTTACACGAGTTAACTCAACCAAGCTATCGTTAACAGGTGGAAATAGCGACTGACATGGTTTTGTCGCCATTGTTTCTTCTTCATGGTCATCTCGGACTTGAAATTTTGCGAACTTGGAGTTGGAATTACCAAGTTCATATACATCAGAATCATCAGAGCTTGCAGTTTCAAACTGAGTGGAATCAATTTCAAGACATTCGTGATAGTCCCCTTCTTTTGATGCAGTTCTTAGAGCATTTTTCTTCTGCAATTCAACATTTCTGTCCTTCATAACAGCTTCCATAATATGAACAATTTTTGCTTTGTAAAGTGATTTATTGTTCATTATAATGTGCCCTTTTCCCCGGAGCTCCATCTTTATGGCATTGGGCGTATCGTGGTTTAACATCCACGCAAATTTTGCTTTTCCAGAGTACTTGTCGAGGAAGTAAAGTTGGTCCTTCCAGATATCTGTGCTCAAGTCGAGTATCCCTATATCGGCGACGATGATGAATATTTGGCTTTTCATATCTTTAATTCTCATTAACTCCGCTCGTAACGGTTCACCTAGTGGATCCTGTGGACTAAATCCCTTTTTAGTTTCTGAACTTCTAGCATGAAAGAGTTCCTGAAGAATTAGTGTCAATTCATTCCACTCTGAGGCTTCTAAAGTGCGCAGTCTGATTTTACAAAGCCACTGCGATGTGATTAATCGACTCATGTTGCCACGGAGCGCAAGCAGTACCTGAATTTGCACACAAAACATCAATATTTACAAGCATGTGATTGTTGTTTTAAGAAATGAGACACGTCTGAAAATAAACCACACAAAAACAAGAGAAAAAATCGTTTTGAGTTGCTAAAGCATGTTTTCATTTTTACTTTCTGTTCTTGAAAAGAGAACTGCTTTTGAAAATAGCTCCATACTGATTGTTCTCGGAAGGTTTAACTGCCAAAATTTATATTTATCACTCAATTCTGATTAAATTTCTTCACTCACCACTGCATTATGTTTCGCAAAATCAAGTTGACAGTGATGATCCATGGAATCTACAGGCGTGCTGAGAACCAAATAAAGTCGCATTAAAGTTCCCGGGCCGTTCTTCTTTACAACCTTGATTTCTCCACCCATCTTGTGAACCTATTATGAGCATCATATTCATTAGACGCAGTTGGAAAAACTCTTACTCCAATATGTTATGTACCTGATGATCTAAAGGCAAGAAACAACAATTTTGATGGATTTTCATCTCATTTATGATGAAAGGTCAGTGCAGACAAACTCACCAAGGTGCGTACGATGCATAGTCCAAGACCCGTACCACCGTGCCTGAAAAATGAAACATATTTAGAATTATGAATCACGGGATATGTAAAATTTTCTTTTTCGTTGTGATGGCTGAAGTATGAACTGTAACTATGCTAGACAGCATATTTAGGAGTTAAAACTTACATCTCGTCTATTATATTTGATCATTTGTGAATAGGGGAAGTAGTTTCTAATTACTTACGTTCGGGTTGTTGAGGGATCGGCTTGCTCAAAGCTTTCAAAAACAGACTCCCATTTGCTTGGATCAATCCCTATACAATGAGGAGAAAGTTTTCTTAGCATCTAGAAAGCAAGGAGAAAACATTGTCTCTCTCTCCATAATTTGTTTTCTTATCAAGTATTTCTCTGATTGGCTTTTGACATACCACAGCCAGTGTCATCAAGTTCAAACCACAAGGTCATTTTTTTATCTTTCTTGCAGGCATTCTTTGTAGGGTCTCCATGTTTCATCTTTGTCCGATTAGGAAACCGTGATTTCTTCTGATCAATACAAAACTTCCCTGTTTCGTTAAGAGTATTAGAGGTCTCGCACCACCCTCGAAGAATGATGTGACCAGCTGCAAGACATTTGAAACAGTCAATCCAAGTATGGTTCTTTAGAACACAACAACGTTGCAATTGTGATTAGCAACACTGATAATAATAAAAGGAACACACTTACCAGTTGTGAATTTTATAGAATTGTTGATCAAATTCGTGAATATTTGTACAACTCGACCTGAGTCTCCTCGGACTAATTTTGGCATATCATCTAAAAGAAGAGTACCATATATTAGCATTGCACAAATTGTATCAATTTGGCTAGTGCTTATTAATCATACCAGAGAGATCCAACACAGTCTCCACATTGTGGTTAATGCATTGCACAGAGAACATATCGACAAGCCCTTCAAGTTCTCGTCCCAGATCAAACTCTGCATCTTCCAAAACCAGCTTTCCGGATTCAACCTGTGAGATTATTGAAATAATAATAATTAGGCTACGATCTTTCGCACCATAGTAGAATCAACGAAGCAAGTTTGTATTACCTTGCTTAGATCTAGAATGTTGTTGAGAAGTCGGAGTAGAGCTGTCGAGCATTTTCTAATCTGAGTAACAGTCGCAAATTGTTCGTTATTGAGACAGTCGTCACACATAAGAATGTCCAGCAGTCCGATTACTGCAGCCATCGGCGTCCTCAGCTCATGACTGCAATACCATGAGGCGGCAAGCAATTGTCAGTGAAGCACAAACTTTGGATATAACATATATCTCTGGGTCAAACTTAAGTGATTGTGAGTACAAAATCTCGCTCTCTCTAGCCCTTCAACATTGTTCTTGACACATATGAGCGAGACAAACGCCTCATTGTGCTATACATTAAGGTCATTAGGACACTTTTCCATCGTTTTAAATCAACTCACCTCATATTTGCAAGAAACTGACTCTTGTAATTACTAGATGCCTCTGCCCTTCTTCTTGCATCGAGATGGCTTATTAGTTCTGCTCTTAGTTTCATTTCCTTAGATACTCCTTTTGTCAGAATCAAAATGCATAGACATCCAATAATTAAGATGCATAAGGATGCAGAAATCAGTATAACCAATGTTTTGAAAGCTCTCTCATCTACCTTTCCCATTATGTATTGTCTAGGAATGATGACAACCCCCACCTACAAAATACCAAAACAAAGTTCAGCATACGTAAATATTCGACCAGAAGTTAGTCGATTGATAGATGGATGAAACTTACAATAGGAAGCCTCTTCAGATTAAGAAAAAATGAGTCAATGTAATATTGCTGATCGCCAAGCTTGACATTCTCTTCATGGACCTCATGACCTGGAGGAAAATTGTTTCCAGAGGTTTTCTGTAACCACTCGGCTCCTAGTCGAATCACGTCATCCTGAGAATCAGCAGCCATCATAAGCTTTGGACCTCTTGACGTATTTGTTAACAGGGGAGCATTTGCTGATGTAGCAAGCAAGTAGCCCTCTTGAGAGGTTAGATAAATATGTCCACTATGGAACTCAACAAGCTCCTTCATCAGTTGGCCCACGCTATAAAGTGCAGTCGTAACGCCCACCACTGCAACTATGCTTTCATTTGAAGCATCAGAAACAGGAAGAGCCGCTGAAAGCAATGGTGTATCCATGTACTTGCTCACAGTGACATGCCATGAGGCAACACCATCTGCCACCTGTGAAATGCCAGGAATATTAATCAAGTCCTCCGGTGGGATCTGCCTCGCTTTCCCGATCTTCTCACCACTAACAGGATCAAGCGGTTCCCGGTACCATTTTGCAGAAACATTGCCATGTATGGGTGGGTCTGACCACCCATCGCCTGACGACAACCGATTGATATCATACGATTGAGTGGCACTGATGGAATAGTTTGCAAGATCGGAGTAAATATAAAACGTATTGTTGCTTCTATGATCTCGATGGAATGCCTGGACAAAGCCATTCTTGTAATTGATAGTTATGGCATTAAGAGCTTTTCGACTCGCAAACAACGCCCACGTCACGTCCCTCATTGATTCATACAACTAGAGAAAAGGACAGACATTTGAAACATGATCTCAAAGCCAAAAGTATGAAGGAAATCAGGCAAGGGATAAGCAAATAACCTCAACTTGCTCTGCTTGATTCGCAGGCTTGCTGTACTTCCTCATTACATATTCTGTGAGCTTAACTTGAGCTGTGGTTATTTCAGCTGTGGAATTCAAGACACCCCACATCCGTAGGATCGGGCGCTGCAGCAGTTCGTGGCGTAGACCGTATGCTAAGCTGTCCAGTGACTGTGCTGTATAGCTCTTTGTGAAATGCCACGTGAGTATTGTCAGCAGCCCAATCAAAATAGCTAGCATCACCTGCATGTAATGTAATTAATCATCACTGCCAATACCAGTGGTAGTGCACTGTCAAGATTTATCATAATCAAGCTGAAAGGCACTGATATGTAAAACTAGAAGCCAATTATGAATCGTGATCTACAGACTTTTGGGGTTAGAGGTGAGAATCAGAAGAAAGTTATAAAAATGTATAAATGAAGGTAAGAGTTTTCGTTGGGTCCAATACATAAGATTGTATAAATGGAAAACCAAACAACTGCAGTGAATCACAGGTGGATGAGAGAAGAAACACTGTATTATAACTGATCAGATCATTTCACTAGTGGAGGAGATTAGTTTTGAGCTTGAATGAGTTTTAGATCATTTATGGAAAGGAAGACTAACCATTATGGCAAGGCGAGCAACAAAGACACTGTAGTAAGAAGAGAGACAATGAGAACTTGCATATTGAAACTCTTGCTGTTCAACATCTCTGTGAAAGATTCTTCTGCTGTGAGGGGCTGCGTTTCTTCTCAGAGAAGTTGCAAGGCCAGAAATCCTACAAAACACCTTCCTCAAGGGAGTTGACATTGGAGAGATGAGAGTTGAAGAAGAAGAAGATTCAGAACTTTCAGAGGGGGTATCCTCTTCTGCCATTAATACTAAGCTATAAAAAAATAAACATTTTTGCAGAAAGGGTCTGGTTTTGGTGTAAATCTGAGTGTATGTGTCAAGAAGAGAATGTGTGCAATTGGGTGGAGGGTTTTTAAATATACTGCTCCCTATGTCACCTCCCACTTTTTCAAGGCAGAGTTTTCTTTTTTTCCAAAGTGGCAAAGGAGGTGGTGGGTTTTATTCCTCATCCCATAGTCTTCCACTGTCACTTATCTTCTCCTTTATCCCATTACTATATTTTAAATTGGTTAAAAAACACTTCGGTTGGTGTAATCACCCTATCTAAATTTTAATAAAGTAACAATTTAATCCTAAACTGAATAGTTTCTAAATTTTAATATAATAACGATTTAGTCCTAAACTATAGTATGTAATAATTTAGTCCTTATATTTTAAATTGTAACAATTTAATTCTTATCGTAAAAAATTCTATAATATGAAGTATCGATTTTTATTATTTAACAATTTAGTCCTTATAATTTATAGTGAAGTTTGGTCTCATATTGTTAATTTCATAAGTTTTTACATGATAAGGATTAAATTCTTACAAAGAAACTAAATTGTTACCTAAAAAGTTTAAAGACTAAATCATTATAAATTTAAAAGTATAAGAACTAAATCATTTTCATTAAAGTTGAAGAACTAAATAGTCAGTTGAATATCAAATTCACACCCCAATAAGTTGCAGATCACAAAAAGCTGGGGAAAATAGAAACTAATAGCCAAAAGATGAAGCACAGATTTCATTCAAATAAACAATGAAGAGAAAGGGAACATAATTTGTTGAAATGATTCTGTAGAGCCCCAAAAAGGGGAATTCTCTTCTCCCTTAGAAACCCAATTAGCTGTTGGGGGGTTTTTAAGATTCTGGGATATCAACAAAATACGTGTCTGATTATCAATCTCCTCTTTAAACCAATAATAAAAAACTAAAAAGAAGGGTCCAAAACTGCGCCAATTTGCCACACAACTTTTGACTTTAAGAAAAAGATGGGGGATGGCACCGCCATGCTTCAACTTCAAGTATCGCCATTGGTTCATATTTGGGAAGGACTTCAAGAAACCTAGAATCAAAATGGAGTAAAGAAAAAGAAGAGGCAAACAACTTTTTACCTAAGATGATCCAGATTTCTTCACATTTTCCCCTTTTTGTAATGCGCAATGATGCTCCTCTCGATTCTGTCGGCAATGGGCTGCATCTGTGGCGATTCGTTTGGGGGAAAAATATATATATAGAAACCCTTGAAGGGTTTGGAAATGGAAGTGGGAAGAAGTGGGATTTCGATTTCTGAAAATGTATCCTTTTGGGGAAGAAGAATAAGAGGTGAGAATTGTTGGAACTGGAAGGAGTAGGCATTTTCTTTTTGTTGTTTAGTTTCCCAGTTGGAAATTTTTGCAGGCAGTTTGCTGCTGATCTTTGAATTTGGGTGGAATTCCCCATTTGCAAGAGAAAACTAGCAACGTCACTGCAACTATTTGCAGCACTAGAACAAATGTCCGTAAACCAGGGTGTTAAATTTCCATTGTTGCTATAACACAACCCTTGTGGATGGAGGTTGATAACATCTCTTCATTTAGTAGTCTTGGTAAATCCTCATCATTGATGAACAAGTGTAAGCTAATGTTTCATCGATTCTACCGACTAGAGTCTAGTCGGTGTTGTGCATGCCATGAAAAAACTAAAATTTGTGAAGATCCGTTGTTAATGTGTTCTGTTTTATTTCTTCATGAAGCATAACTATAATTGGTTGTGAATCTTAGTGTGGTTCATAAAAAAACAACACTTTTTAATAACATTTTCATATATATTCATTGATTTGATATTGACACAGGAGTGAATCGATATTTCTATATATTTATGAGTTTGGTATTGACACGAAGGACGAGTCCACGTCTAAAATAATCAACCAAATATGTTCATTATCATTAGGTTGGAGTTTCATAATGAATGATGAGAATTTATAGAGAAAATATTAAATGGGTTTTGGTTTTGACTTTTATATGTGATATTTGTTTCATTCCACTTTTCGAATCATATCCAATCTAGTTGAAACAGCTCGCAAAATTCAATAACTTTCTTTACTTCATTGTCCTCAACTAAAATAATATATTTATTCATTACATAGTTGAATATTAGCATAGGTAGTACTCAACTACCTAACAATAATATTAGATATTTTCTCTCGATAACCTACAACTACAATATATCTTTTATAAAACAAAAATGTTTGTCACGTAAAGATGATATAGCTAAAAGAAAAAAAATTAGTATTTATTTTTTTTGTGTGTGGAAGTTCAAATTCAATATCTTTTAGTCAGACATATATAACTTAATCACTTAAGATTGACATAAAAACATATTAGTCAGTGCAAAGGAAAAAAAAAAGTGAAATGTGAGATGTGTGATGTGTGATGTATTTTTTTTTTAATTTTTTAATTTTATTTTTTTGAATGGACACCAAGAGAGTTTTGGGAGATTTTAGGGAGCCAACTTAGAGTTTTATTCATTATTCATTATGGGTTGGGAATGACAAATTAAAGGGTCCTATGTGACCTAATTTTTTATATTTGTTATTTCTTAGTGGAATATGGCCTCCATGCAATCAAATTATAAACTATATGCTCTATTTTACTTTTCTAATTTTTCTTTTATGAAGTTGTCAAAATCCTATTCTAAAATTTTACCATATATGGGTAGCAATTAAATCTACAGTCAATATTAATATAGCTCAATAATAAATGACACATACTTCTTTTATTGAGGTCGGAGGTTCAAACTTATATACTTCCAATTTGTTGTACTAAAAAATTTTCATTGTTGTAACTCGTTATTAGTAAGATTTGATGACGAAGACTTTTGTTAGTTTGAAAGTGTAATTATTACTTTGAGGGTGTAACAACTCTAATGTTAATTTTTACAAATCAATATTTAACTAGATATATAAAAATTGATCAATTTGTGTCACATTCGTTCAAATGTGTCCGAATATGACACATCCCCTAATTTGTACTAGCTCTTCTTAGCTTAGGTTATATAATGTTGGAAAAAAAATCCTCTCAAGAAATTTCCCCGCTGATGTAAGAGCTCGACTTAGGTACAATAAGTTCTTTATCCAAGCATTGAGAAATATGGGAATGGAGATTCGAACCTTTGATCTATAAGGATGTTGAATTGAACTTAGGTTGCCACCTTACATGGTACTAGTTTCTTACCATGTGCCATGCACATTTATGTACGTGTATATATATAATAATTTTCACTATAAAATACAAATATAAACTAATTAAATCTAATATGATACGATTTATAATTTTATTAATAAGTGAAATTAATTCATATTATTTTTAATATAGTTTAGACATTTTTAATTCTAATATATTCATTTAGTTTGAGAGAATAATAGTAACTCAAAGTTGGAATACATATAAATATGCTGGACTTGCAAGGTATGCAAACAAAGTCCCACATTAATTAGTGAAAAATGGGTGATTCATGGTATATAAGAAAAGACAATTATCTCCATTGAAATGAGGTCTTTCCGTGAAACCAAAAGCAAACATGAAGGTTATACCTAAAGTAGACAATATCATATCATTGTGGAAATATTCAGAGCACGAGGTTACCTAAATGTACCATTTGTTAGACTGAAATTAGTTCTTGGAAGTGATCATTTTCCTAATAGATTCAATCTTTTACAACTTAGAATCCAACAAAACCTCATCACAAAATGATAGAATTGAATTTACTTGCCCACATTCTATTAGATAAGAAAACATAAAAAGATGATTACACTTGTGAGTAATTAATGAGCTTAATTATAACTTTTTTGAAGTAATGCATTCTTAGTATTGACAAAGACAGGTATAGGGCCTAACAATAATAATAATAATAATAATACAATATATTAATGAAGTTTTGGTATGTGGGAGTGCATTATAAATTTATAATTAAGTGGCTTGACTTACCAAAGTTGAGCCTCTAGAACTCCATTTTTGTGCACTTGTGCTCCACTTTTATCCTTTCTTATTCTTATGTTTCCCTAATGCTTAATCCTTTATTTAGTCATGGCTTCTGCAATGTGCATACAATTTGCTTATGACTCATTTATTTTTGTTCATCTTATCCTTCTCTAACCCATTATCACTTCCTTCCAATTCGACATTTTTTCTTTCGATTAGTGATGATTCAATTGGAAATTTTTGATTCGTTGATTTAAAATTTTTCAGCTGTATATGTTGATGACTTGATTGGAAAAAAAAAACAACAAAAATCTACTTGATTTAAGATTTTTATTTATGATCCAAATGAATTTTTGGAGGAAAAAGAATTAACAACTTTTTGTTAACCAATGTTGATGGCTAAACTTGTAAAATAGAGTTAAGGTTTCTATATCTATTTATTCAGACATACATCTTCTAATTTAATCTAATATTCTCTACACCCACATGTTGTTGTTGTTGAACTCAAAATAAAAAATAAAAAAAATCATATTTTCACTTAGAATTCAATCTTTATTAAGACGTATACCTTAAATGTAGCCACGTCACCCATGTTGAACCAAAAAAAGTTCATATTTTTACTTGGAAACTTAATCTTTATTGAAACCTATACCTTAACATAGCCACTTGTTTGCTAATAAAACATTTAAAACCATCTTTCTACTCCTAATTTGCTTAAATAAAAGTACTATTATAAGAAAAGTTAATTTATAATATTGACTCAATATTTTCTTTGGATCTTGAGAGATAGTGGCACAACTGTCTCAAGGTTTTGATCAACATTTGTGATCTTTAAGAAAAAGAAAATGGCCAATGTTTGATAATGAAAGGACTATGGTGCATGTTTAGTAGCATTCATACAACTTTTTACATTTTCTTGGTCATATTTTCACTTTTTTTTTAATGGTATTCACTTTGCAGTTATTATATTAATCATTTTGGTTTAAGATTTTAAAATAAGTGGTGATTTAACTCAATACTCTTTTGTCTTCATATTTTAATAAAGATAGAATTTAAAAAACAGCAAAAGGGGTTAGGGGAAAAGTTCATCTCATGCTGTAGTTGAATTCCTCCTGAGCAATAGCTGGATAAAAAGATGTTATCTTAAATAATACATAGGAGAGGATCAATGAAGAAAGGATGTCATAAAGTATATAATTTCTCTTTTCCCGAACACGATACACAATTTATTCTTCAAATAGCTACTTTTAGATATGTTGCACCTCTACTTAAGTTTTGTAGACGTTGGACACGTCTAACAACTTATAAAGAAGAGATATCGTTTGAGTTTTTTGACTTGTATTATTGCAGCATTTACCAAAGCGACTCTGATAATCGAATTAGGAGACTATGATGACAAATAAAGAGAGAATATATAAAGAGAAATTCAAAGATTGAGAATATATGTAACTGAGCTTTGGTGCAAATAGCTAAGAGAAAAAGAAAAACCAAAAAAGAAGAATGAGATATAAAGAGAAATTCCAAGGTTCATTTCACCAAATGTATTACAGTGAAATCAAGAGATATGATTCCAAATGCCCTTGGAGTGGATCTGATATAATTTGGAAGAGATTGCACAAATCTTAAAGAGACATAACTTCATTTCTAACCCAAAATTCTTCAATATCTCACCAAAAGGGGAAAAAAAAAAAGTGAAAACCCAAAATTCTTCACATTTCAAGGAAAAAAAATACTAATCAAACAAGACATAAAGAAGTCAGAATCTTGGCTTAGTGGGTAAGAATAGTCTTAATTTGCATTGGATGTTCCCTCTTATGGAAAGGAGCATTTGATTCGATACTTAAATAATTTTATAGAGCAAAAAGGATTCTAAGATAATAGAATTAACCTATCAAACATTGACCCAATGATTAAAATGGAGAATGGTAAATTAAAGATTAAATTTTTTAGTACAACAATTGTGGGCATGGGAGATCGAACCTCCGACTTCGAGGAAAGAAGTTAGGTGCCTTACTTGTTGAACTAAGCTCACGTTGGCGGTAAATTAAAGATCAAATTACAAGTTTGGTCATTGAAGTCTAGGTTGTGTTGATTTAGTCCTTGTACTAAATTTCTATACTGCCAAAATTGTGTCTATCTTGACCCTATAAGGGTCTAATAAGTCTTCGAACTTCCAAAGTCCATAAGATTCGTTAAACTAATGAATTAATGACAATGACCAATTAAATGTGAAATAAACACAACTCTAAAAGTTCAATGAACTAGATAGATAATCCTAAAAGTTTAGAGACCAAACATATAATTTAACCAATGTGAAAATGCTTTAGAGAAACATAAAAAGATTACAATGGCCTACCTACTTAGGATATTAAATATCTAAAAAATAATTGTTCTGTAAGGTTAATCCAAACGTGCATAAGCTAATTTGGACTGTTTTTTCTGAAGAAAAGAGAAAAAAGAAAAAGAAAAATTTGTGGTGTACAATCAAGGGAGATAGAAGCACATTAAGATCTAGTGGTCCAATTAACAAAGGAAGTTTTTGGTGTAATAGTTTTCAGAAACAAAAAGGTTGAGTAAAGTTCTTGGCCAGAAACAAATAAAAAAGGAAGTGGAGGAGCATTCCAATTTTCAATAGCAACTGGCTTAGAAATTAGCTGGTTCTTCTGAAGTACCAACCTTTTTATACTATTTCCATTTGCTGTGTTAGAGTTTTGCTAGATGTCCAAAACCCACTATCTAACAATGTCATGCCACCATCATACCAGAAAAATATTCTATAATATTACCAAGCAATCCCAGATCAAGTTGTTGGAACAACAAGACAAGAAGTTAATTCTTTATCTTAAAGAAACAATAATGATATTAAAGCCCAAAATCCTACCTGCCACAAGATGGAGGAAGATCCTGAAGGATGTTTATCTTCAAGAAAATGATTTGGAAAGCTTTTGTCCTACCTACCCAGTGGGCTGCCCATCATAAAGTTGGCCTAATAATCAAGGGGAAGGGAACAATCAGTACAATCAAATATCTTTTAAGTCAAGAGTTCAAATCATGCTGGCCATCTATCTAAATTTCTAGACATCAAACAATTTTTCGATGGCATTGTCATTAATTGAGGTGAGCACAATAACCTGGACAAATATCTTTAAGTTATGAGTTCAAATCGTACTAGCCACTTATCTCAAATATTAATATGAATTTCTAGTTTTATGACATTAATCATGATGTGCAAAATGGCCCAAACACTTGCTATTATAAAGAGAACACGGGCAATGAATTTCCTGCAGTCACTTGGTTGGAAAACTGGCAGCTTATGACCACTATTTACTGCCTTATATCAAGGGAGGGAAAAAGTTTCTCCACTTTTTGGGGCTCTTGATGGGGAAAAAGAACCATCGATGGAAGAGAACGGGAACCAATAATATAATTCTTTTCATGATCCATGCATTGTATATACAGAAAATGTACAACAACAATGATTTCAATAAAGAAATCAAGAGTGGGCATGGAGATGAAGTGGTTCAAATCTTTAATAGATTAACTTAATTTGTGACAGCAGCTCATACCTACTATTAGTTATATCAAATAATTCTCAACAATTTACTTGGATCTGTTAGCCCTCGCCTCTTCAGCTGCGGCTTTAACAGCTGCTTTTGTTAAAGAGGTTGGGTTGAGAGCGCTTTTTGGGTTAAGAGCTTTTCGAATCTTCATAACAGCCCACGCTGTCCCAACGGCATGTCCAGCAGCATCGAGGCCTTCACTTGCTGCATTCGCAGCTTCCTCCCCATACCTGCAACAACCAAATAAGGAAAATAAAAATATAAAATCAACACATGTGAGATTGCCTTTGAAGTGCATCTTCTGGTATGGACATTGAAGTTCTTTCCACATTTGGTCAAGCAGCAGGAAGTATCCAAAAAGCAGGAAATCATGAACAGTGAAAATACCTCCTCATTTATACTAGTCGCTAAGATAGAAGTGTACCAAATTTGAGGTTTAATTCCATCTTCTGATAGACCCCCAGTTGTTAATTTGGTTAGGAGTACATGTGTGAAGAAGAGGGACTGAGGTATTGTGTAAATAGTGTGAGGAAGAAGGACTGAGGTATTGTGTAAATAGTGTGATGTACTGGGTGGGCCATTAGTTGAGTTAATTAGTAACGAGTGAGGACGGGAATCTATGGTATTATAGGCTAAGAAGTATGGACACTTCAATTTAGGTAACGTGTCCGCATCAAACATGTGTCGACTGCTCCAACACTCCGACACTTATTGGACACATATCAAACACTTGTTAGCTCAATTGATTTGTGTCACACACTAGTTGTACAAAGTGAATATGGATCCGACACTTGCTAGACACGTATTGAACACTTTAAGCATAAGAAATAGACATTTTATAAAATAATAAATTTTGGGAGCAAAATACATCAAACTCATTTTATAAAAATGCATAAACCTGTTGACTTTGAATTTCCTTCTAGCATAAAAATGATATATACTTTAAAAAATTAATATATTTTAATAAACGTGTCCTTGCCATGTATTTGTCCTAGATTTTTAGAAAATGACGTGTCATTACGTCCGTGTCATGTCATATCCGTGTCCATGTCCGTATCCATGCTTCTTAGAAAGTAGGTATTTTGAGAATGAAAAACTTATGCTCTTACTTATATTAAGCATACATTCTTGATACTCCTTTGAAATTTAGTGGATTCCATTTCCTGTCTCTGTTTCTTTCTACTGATTTAAACCATGTGCAGTTGGTAATAGTTTACCTTTTGGTCACGAGTTCAGTTGTCACAGTGGAAGACGTAGACATGACATTTTTCCCAGCAACTTCAACAGCATCAAAAACTTTGCCTGGTTATTAGAGGAAGAAATCAGTTATCAACTACGCCACAAAAAGAATGTGTTCTTATGGGGATAACAAATGAAGTGAAAATTTACCAACTGAACTGTATTTATGATCCTAACTAGTTATCCACAATACTAGTTGAGGTCTCATAAAAAAAATAATAATAAAAAAAAAAACAATACTAGTTGAAGTTAGAAGCAAACAGCATGAAATTTCTAACCTATAAAAATTATGTATTTTTATTTATCTAAGGATCGAACATGGACAGGACAGATATGCTATTTTCAAAACTTGAGAAACCATACGTGGACAGGAACACGTTGGATAATATATTTTTGAGCCAAGAATTTTCTGTACTATTTACACATTTTGATGCTTTCGCACACAAATAATCATATAGTGTAAAAGTTACACATAATTACATTCTAGCCGTAAATTTCAATTTCAAAAAGGTTTTTCTTCAACACCATAAATGATAAAATGTAAAATCCAATACACAGGGATGCAACATTTTCAAATAACATTATTCAGATTTTCAATTGTCCTGCAACTCAAGTTAATGTCTCTCAAACATAGAATTCCTGTTTCAATCACTTGTAACATCTTCTGACACAGACCCATGTATATCTAATTTCTTTCTTGTCTTTTGTTGTTTGGTTTCTATAGGTCCACTCGTATATTTATCCTTTTTACATTTTTATCTCTACAAGTTATCATACAGATATTTTTAGGTTTGATTAAATAATTTAAGCTCCTTTTCACTTCTTTTTCTTCACCAGTAAATTCATCCACGCAATGCATATGATTTATGTCCTCATTTTATAAATGTTAGAAACTTAAATGATGCATTTTACATGTTCTAGTCCACCATTTCTGAGCAATACAAATGAAATAACTAACAAATCATACGTTATCAATATTTTTAATATATAAACTTTTTTTTATATCAGAACTAAAAAGGTAAAATTAATTTTTTTTCTTGTTTTAAATTTTAATAGACCGCCAATGGTATTCAATCATTTGAAATCTATTTTTAAATGTCAGAATCTTTCAATGTTTAGCGTGTATATAAGAAAAAACAAGTTGATAGTATGAAAAGAGAGAAAAGGAAATGAGATATATTATATCATATTCTTATTCTTCAACTGGCGCAGTGGAAAAGATACAGGGTAGAGATGATGACATACCAAATCCATCGAGAGAAGCTAGTACAATTTCCCCAGGAAGCATGTCAAAAAACTTCTTGCCAACTCTTGAATTTGCCACAGAACTCGTAAAGAATCCAGAAACTTTAATCACTCCAGACAGTACTCCAGTTGCTACTTTCTCGGTCATCTTTGTAACCCTCTTAACCCTAAATAAGAGTTAGACCAAAGAAGTGGTTGAAATGTGTTTCCTTGAAGTTTGCTGAAAAGTTTACAGATCAAAGGAAAACCAAGCAACTGCAATAAAATGCAATATGAAATCTATTTCAGAATAATGGTCAAACATTTACTATGAATGTAGGTAGCTTTCACGTCCAGAGGTGGCTACTGTAACAAAAGTAATGCACCTACAGCTAGTTATATATGAAAAGATTATATATTATGAATAATAAGATAATAATTTCTTAGAAATTAGATGTTGAAACATATGAGGGGTTTTGAAAGATGTTACTTAATTTTCTTTAAAAACAACTACTATGCTTGAGCACAATAGCTCAATGGGGCTTAAGCTATAGTCTGCACAAAACAACAAGGAATATAACTCATTGCAGAAGGATTCAGATAGAGTGAAACAATTGCCATTTTCCATTGCCTAACAACCTAGAAAAACTCGACAATAATATGATACTTGAAAAGCATACAAAATAAGTAGCTAAAGCATCACTTTTTCTTAAACATCGTTTGGATCAGTTTCCATGCAGCTCGACTAATCTCTGAGACAACCACCTTACTTTACTATATTCGGTTGTCAAGGAAACTACAAACTAGTAAGATATTAAATTTTAGATAGTTTGAACTCTCTCTACACCTACTTCGTAATAAGATACCAGTAAACTCAAATGCTAACAACATAGGAGTAGAAAAATAGTCTTAATTATCAAAAAATGTGAAGGAGGAAAGAGGAGACCTTTTGATCCTCTTCAGGGTTTCAGGGCTGATCTCCTTGTTAGAACAGGGGCTCATCCTCTGCTGCATAACCTCATTCCCATGTTTCAACCTGTCTACAGTCACATCACCGCACCACAAGATCCCTTTGATCAATTGCCCCGATCCTGCTGCAATCAACTTCGCGGCTACTCCATTGTATTCTTCAACATTTGGAGCTAATGTAGTCCAATATCCCGCACACTTCCCCTCCATCATTTCTTTCTTCTTCTCTGTCTGCAAATCCTCCGGCGACAACTCCCTGGCCAGAGATTCATCCATAGCCTCCCCCTTCTTCGCACTCTCCGACACCTTCTGCACCGTAAAACTACTGAAATTCTGCAAAATCACATCCAGCTGCTTCAACAGCCCCTCTTGTCCTTTGGAAACAATCGTCAATCCATAACTTAGATAATCATCCGAAACCTTTTTCCCATCCTCATCATCACTTGAATCCGAGTCGGAACCACGTTCCTTCGGAGCGCGAAAAGAGAAAAAGTAATGCGAATCATCGAGCTTCACCGCCGCCATGTCCTTCGCCACCGGCCATTGAATGTCGTCAGCGACACGCGCGAGAACAGCAACAACACTCTCTCCCTGGCGGATGAGGACAATCGTCAAATCGCCGCAAGCAAGCTCGACACTGTAATTTCTGTCAATGAGGTTAAGAATCGCGCCAGGGACTCTGATGAGGGTCTCTTCTGCCGCAATGGGAGGAGCAGAAGCGGCCGGAGGATGGCGGTAATCTAAATCGTCAGGAAACAGATTCTCCACGAGATCCTTCATGTCAATAGTGGGGTAAAGATTCGAGTTCGACGACGGATTAGGATTGGCGAAGGAAGTAGAAGGCGCATCGGGATTTGAATCGATCACTTGGGGGTAAAGGGAGTTTTTCTTGTTAAAGGAACTGTTACGAGGGTACTGCAAATCCATTGTTATCGGTCAAGACAGAGAAGGAAAAGGTTACAGAACAGAAAACAGCAAAACAGCAAAAACAGAACGAGAGAAGAAATTTAGGGTTTCGAAGGATGGGGGAAGAGAGAGCGGAGAAAATTGAGGAATTCACGAAGAAGAGATCCAAACGATTTCCGAAGCAAACATTAATAATTTCAACTGTAATCAAGATGATACTTTTCCCGCGTCTCAATCGTGTGAAAGGACCAATGTGTTGACTGAATTGAATATTTTATGTTGGAAGTTAAAGGCAATGTCGGGGCATTGATTTTCTTCAGCTGTCAGAGCTCCGTCGCCATGGTTGAACAATTCTGAGAAAGAACAAAACAACGAACTCGCCGGAATCGTGGGAATTTAGCCGCTAGGCTGAACCTTCTCCGGCGTATCCATTTTTTTAGAGAGAATTTCGCGCGCGCTCTCTCTCTCTCTCTCTCTGGGAATCATTATTTTATTTTAAATTTCCCGAATAATTAATGGCATCTATTATATTATAAAGCAATAAATAATAAACTAATAATAAGGGTATTGTTTTTTTATTTTATTTTATTTTTTGATAGAGTAATAATAAGGGTATTAGTCTATAGTTACATTATGTGGCCAAAGCACCAGTAGCTTGGGATTATTTTCTAAGAATAATTTTTTAAGTGCTTACTTCTTATTACACTACTTACTATTAAAAATTGAAAATGATAATTTTTTTAAATGAATACGTGTCAAATTATAAATGGTGGTGAGTAGAAAAATACATTAATAGTCATCACTAAGCTTTTAAATATTATTCATTTTCTAAACCTCCTTAATTTTTTTAGAGTTTTATGTTACACTCAAACTGTAATAAATTTAAAATTTAGTCTCGTTACTAAAAAGTGCAAGTCAATAATTAACCCCTAAAATAGAAGAATTTGCTGAGTCCTCATTTGCACCATATTAACATTACGTACATATGAAACACCACTTGATTAAAATTTTAAAAATTTAAGGAAATAAGTATTCAAATTTTAGAGAAGAAAGAAAGAGAAGTTGAAAGATTTAGAAATAAATAAAATTCATGCTAAGACCTTTTTTGTTTTTTTACAAGTACCTTTCAATCAAGAATATATAACCTCCATCACTTTTAATCAAGAATATATACCTCACTAATTAAACAAGACTCTAATTAACTAGTAAGAATAAGAATTCGACCCTCTAATTTTTTATCGAAAATATATGCCTTAGAACTATACTCAAATTAGCTATTAACAATATGAAAGTGAGATTTAAACTTTAGACTTGTTAGACGAAAATATAACTTAACTAGTTCAATTATACAATTATACTCGTAGATTTTAAATTAAAAATCAATCATCTAACTTTTCCATTAGTCATTATAAAAATGAAATATTTAAAATCTCAATTTTACGGGGGGATATTTTGTTCAAAATTCTATGATTTTAGAAAGTTTAAAGGTTAATGATACCAAATTAATTATTAAAAAAAAAACTAAATACAAGCAAAACCTGTCATGCTAAGGAAATTAAGACAAATATTAGGCCGCCCTACAATGTTCTTCAGTTACCTTTCAAAGAAAGTAAGCAGAAAAAACTCAAAAACAGAAGGGGGAGGTGGGGAAAGAAAACAAGAGTTGATCAAAGAGTATAATGCATAAGTACAATAAAAGATCAAGGGATCACTTTTTTCAACTTTTGCTTTTGCAGGCGAACACGATGTGACCTGCAAAAAGAATACAGAATCGCAATGCCGCGATAAATCATCGATAGATTGACAAGATCCGACCCGACACGACGCTACTACAAAATTGCTACTAAAGGTGAATCAAGAAAGGGAGGGGAAATACCTAGTAGAATATTCAACTTTGGAAGATGAGTGGATCATTTCTCATCTTCTTCCTTGGGGTTTTTTTCTTCTTCATTCTTCTTGTCCTGAGAGGAAGTTTTGAAATAATTACAATTCTCAACTGAAGTGTACAAGTGTTTCACGGCCTAGAAGCAACACCAGGTGGCTTTAATAATGATTTAATTTCTAGTTTTATTTTTCTAAATATTCTTCCTAAATTTCTTTGGTATCGGTATGTTTTTCACCATTCTTACAATCATTTGAATTATTTAAAAAATAGATACCAAAGCAAAGAAACACGTAGATAGAAGTAGTTTTTATAGGCTAACACTTTATAACCAACAAACTCACCTCTGGCTTTGACTGACTTTGCATGGAAGCCAGCAAATCTTTAACTGATGGATCATTTGGATCAACCCCTGGAAGCTGTATATAACATCTCCAGKGTCAATTAAACATAAAACTGATATTTGGAGGAATTTTTTTTCTAATCAGGGAGGTATTTACAGGTTGTAGAATTCATACCGACGCGAGAATGGAGGAAACGAACGACTGGTCTGCCAGTAATTTACTCATATCAGGTTGGCTTGTTGAGTCTTTAGCATCCTCCTGCACGGACAACTGAAGAGCTGCAACCACCAAGAAACAAACGAAGATGAAAAAGATTGTTAGAATGAACATTCATGCACAGTAAACGTTCTTTCTAGTTCCAAATGATGTAATGTTGACCGTAGTCAAGTTTCGTTGGTGTTTAATTGTAAATTACAAACAAATTTTCCAGGTGTGCCGAAAGATTAGCAGGTATTCATGAAAGCCAACGAGGAATATTAGTCCATTGCATTCTCTAAACCTAAGGTTGAAGCATACACAAAACTATATTAAACTACAGTAATTACATGTCTTTGAAATATCCTTAAAGTTCAAATCTGAATTCCTCAAGCAACTAACAGTCACCAATTCCCTCAACAAGTTTCTTGAATGCAATGGAAAACCATGAGATGAGGGAATAAAAAGTACACATCATAAACAAAGAATCAGTAAACGTAAACCTGAAGCAGATAACTTTACCAAGAGCTAACTCTGGATCATCCATTGCTGCATCTGACATTTCTGTGTCCTGCCCATCATGACTTGAGGCAGGATCTTCCATTGACATTGCAAGGGCTTGTTGTAGCAGAGCATTCTCATCTTCCTGTAATAAAATTCAGATTGAATGTCAAACATTAGTGTGCTTTTAGGATGTATTTGAAATAATGGAAATTGTACCAGTCTCTAATTACTACAGTCGAACTAATTTAATTTAGATTTAGGATAAACAAACCATTGGATCGCTTGTCTTATTATGAGCATCAGAAAATTCAGCACTAGCACGTTCGGTCATAGCTGTATCTGCTGATCCAGATGCCTGTTCCTCTCCTTTTTCCTGCTTTGAAGTCTCATCAGCAGCTCTCTTAGCTGCTGCCTCTTGTCTGGCCCTTTCCTCTTCCATTGAAACTCTAAGTGCAAGCGCTAGTTCAGGGTCTAAGTTGGGGTCTACGCCAAAATCAAAACCACCTCCACCAGCTGAAGCTGCAGCAGCAGCTGCTGCAAATTCACTTCCTCCGTCCCCATCACCAGTGAAGATAGGAGTACTGACATGGGAAGAATTATTGTAAAAACATATATAATATTTTACTGTGTCAAACAATATGAAAAAATGGAAGCAATAAGAAATGACTGCAATCCCAAGACTGGAGAGGGAGAGGAAGCAACTGACCTAATAAGTACATCAGAAAGAGCATTCGGACCAGAGGGAACGTGAACAATGTGACTGCTGTCATTACTATTAACAGCTGAAAGAAGTGCTTCCAGCTTCTCTGGCTTACCATC